GAGTGCGTGGTGTGCGGGGACAAGTCGAGCGGCAAGCACTACGGCCAGTTCACGTGCGAGGGCTGCAAGAGCTTCTTCAAGCGCAGCATGGCGAAGAACCTGAGCTTCAGATGCCAAGGCGACCAAGACTGTCGCGTCAATCAGCACCGTCGCAAACGGTGCCAGTACTGCCGCTTCAGAAAGTGCCTCGACGTCGGTATGAAACCAGAGGCAGTGCAAAGCAACAGGAGACCGCTCACCCAGCCAGCCCACGGGCCATCTGCGCTGACCACCGGGCAACCCTCCGACTGCTATCCGAACCTGTCTGGGTATGTTTCTCTGCTCCTCAGTGCAGAGCCCAACCCCTTGCCTTGGTCAGGCTGCCAGTTCACACCGCCCAACACCATCCTCAGCCTCGAGGACATTTGCGAACAGGCTGCGCGGATGCTCTTCGGCGCCGTGGAATGGGCCCGGAACATACCCTTCTTCCCGGCCCTGCCAATCAGCGACCAGGTGGCCATGCTTCGCCTTACCTGGTGCGAGCTGTTCATGCTGAACTGGGCGCGGTGCCCCATGCCACTCCACGTGGTCCCGTTCCTGGCCTCGACCTGCTTACACAACACGCCCATGTCTTCGGACCAAGTTGCTGTCTTTATGGACAACGTCCGGATCTTCCAAGAGCAAACCGAGAAGCTCAAAGCTCTGCAAGTCGACCCCACCGAGTACAGCTGCCTCAAGGCCATCGTCCTGTTCACTTCAGACGCCAGCGGTCTCTCCGATGCGGCGCAAGTGGAAAGCTTGCAGGAGAAGTCCCAGTGCGCCCTGGAGCAATACGTTAGGAACCAGTACAACGACCAACCAACGCGATTCGGAAAGCTTTTGCTTCGCCTCCCTTCCTTCCGCACCGTGTCCTCCGCAGTCATAGAGCAGTTATTTTTCATCCACCTGGTAGGTAAAACCCCCATCAAAACCCTCATCCGGGGTATGTTACTGTCAGGTAACAGTTACAGCAGTAATAACTAGCCGTACGTGGCACTTCAAAAAATGAGTCAAAATAAGAATGGGGCAGGGGGCCGAAACGGAGAGAGCAAAAAGGTAGACTGGTTTCTTTGCTTAATACTGGTAAAGGATATAAAAGGGATGTTACAAGTTTGCCAGAAGAAGGGAGGGAAAGAATTTAATGGACTGTGAGTTTGAAAAAAAAAAAAAAAAAGAGAGACCGTCAAATGAACTTTTACAGAATACCAAAAAACCCCCACAAAACACCAAAAAACAAACAAAAATAACACACACACACACACACACACACACACAAAACCGAAAAATTCCTATGTCGGAACAGCCTGCTACTTATTTTTTGTATAAAAAGGAAATTAGTCTTGCTCTAGTTTTGGTAAACTTGTGAAAAATATTGCCCAAAGCGCCTTTAAGGAGATTGGGAGAAAATGTGCAGAATGGAGAGAAAGTAAGCCTTTTTCCCCCAAATTATTAACTGTGTTTTATCTGTGTACCTCGAGCTGTTCTCTTCTTGTACTGTTCTAGTTCCAAACCACTTTATTCTGTGGCTCTATAATACGTTTGGATATAATCTTGGTTTCTTAAAATGCTGTGTATCCTTAAAATGTATGTTCTGCAAGAATTAAAACTGAGTCCATGAAAATATCACAGGAAGACATAAAACTTTGAAAGGCAATTCCAAGATGATGGAAACACACTAGTGGTATCCGAAAACTTTAGATGAAATCGAGCACTCTAATTTGAGAACTGGAGGAATCACATACAACACTTAGCTTCCCTTAACCCTGCCTCTTCCCTCAAAAGACACTATGACAAACCTAGATTTTTAAAAACGCTTTAGAGAATGGACTGTAGGATTTATTGGCAGCAACAAATGTGTCCAAGACGCGTGCTGTCGTTTTGAATAGAAAGTGAACGTTTGTACTTGGAGTTGAGCCCCATTTAGTTCTTGAATTGTTATGGAAATCCTACATTTGTGTATTCGGAAATCCTTTATGTTATCAATGCTGATATCATCCCCCCCCCTTTTTTTTTAAAGAAATGTAGTTGAAATCAGCATGACAGAATAATACTGTTGGCACTTATAGGTAACATGATTCATTCGGTATCTTCGAGTTTACGGTTAGGTTTTGTTTTGTTTTGTTTTTAAGTGCAATATGTCAGTATACTGTAAAAGATACAATAACTGAATTATTTGATCAAGTGTTATATTCCAGGGGAAAATGAGAGTATTCCAAAATTAAAGTATTATTTATTTGGTATCTTAAAAAAAATAATCTTTTGCTGAGTAGGCCTATACCCCAAATGAGAGTAAACCATATATCCTAGGCCCGATCACCCAGAGGATTCCATACAACACAAACCCATCCGTTTTTGAAAGAGCCTTCCAAAATTTCATGGAAACAAATAAGTAGACACAATGCATCAATTTCTACACGCAGAGAAATTTCCTTCAGAATTGTATCTTTGGATTTTAAGAAAGTAGAAAATAGGGAAGGATGACAAGCAAGTCGTGAAAAAATGGGGAACAAAAATCTCTGTGTGATCTCCCAGGTCAGAAAGATCTACCTGTTGGTATGGGGTAAAAAAAAAAAAGGAATAAAAAATTTACAAATGCCTGAGCGAAATCATCTCAAGTATAAGCGATTGAACTGAGTTAAAAAATCTGGAAAAAGAAAGTTACAAAATCGCTGTGCAGTTTTGGTCCAAAAGGTGCTACCTTTGTCTAATGTTTCAGAGCCAGAGTTTTCTTTCCATGCAGAAATGAACACATCAAAGCTAATTTTTTTTTTTAATTGCAGTGTAAAGTGAGGTACGACATTAGTTTTGTGCGTATGACATGATGATCTCACATCTTTACCAACCAACGCTTGTTATTTTTTGTCTTTTTGATAATAGCCGTTTTGACAATTGGGAGGTGACAGCTCACTGTAGTTTTGAGTCATATGTCCTTAATGATATGTGATGCTGAGCATCTTTCCATGCACCTGTTGGCCATCTGTATGCTTCGGTGGGAAAAGGTCTATTCCCACAGAATAGAATATTCTGTTCTGCTTGCTTTTGAACCACATTGCTTGGGTTTTTGTTGTTGTTGTTGTAGAGTAATAGGAGTTCTTTAACTATTTTGATAATAACCCCTTCATAGATCTATGATTTGCAAGTTTATCTTTTCCCATTCAGTAGGTTCCTTTTTTATTTTGCTTGATGGTTCCTTATCTAACTGTGCACAAGCTTTTTGGTTTAATGTGGTCCCATTTGTTTATTTTTGCTTTTGTTGCCATTACTTCTATAGTCAGAAATGACAAAATGATATTGTCAAGGAACTTATCACCTATATTTTCTTCTAGTTTTATGATTTCTGGTCTTACATTCAAATTTTTCATCCATTTTGAGTTCATTTTTTTTCCCCCATTTGTTTTAATGTGCAAATATTTGTTTACTGGACTTAACAAATGTATTATGGTAAGATATGATATGAACAATGTGAAAAACTGGATGGGAATATATGAAATCTCTATTATCGTTGCAACTTTTCTGTGTATGAAATTATTCCCAAAATAAAGTTCTTTAAAATCTTTTTAGGTGTGTATTCTTTTTTTCTATGTCTTCTTATCATATTCCACTAGATAATTTGTATTTCTAGGGGAGTACTATTTTGTTTTGAGGTATAACACTTCTACAGTGAGTGCAAAAATCTTAATTGTATAGAGCAGTATTTTTTTTTAATATTTTACTTTTTAATAAATGCTTAACATATATTTATTTTTGAGAGGCAGAGAGAGAGCATGAGCTAATGAGGAGCAGAGAGAGAGGGAGACACAGAATCCAAAGCAGGCTCCAGGTTCTGAGCTGTCAGCCCAGAGCCTGACACAGGGCTCAAACCCAGGAACTTCGAGATCATGAGCCGAGCTGAAGTCGGACTCTCAACCGACTGAGCCACGCTGGCACCCCTTTATTTTTTTTTTAAGTTTATTTATTTGTTTTGAGAGAGACAGAGACAGCGCCAGCGGGGGAGAGGCAGAGAGAGGGAGAGAGAGAGAGAGAGAGAGAGAATCCCAAGCAGGCTCTGCACTGTCAGCACAGAGCCCAATTCACAAACCCCGAGATAGTGACCTGAGCTGTGAACAAGAGTCAGAAACTTAACCAACTGAGCCACCCAGGTGCCCCGATCAGTACTCTTTTTAACACACATTTATATGCACACAACTGTAACCACCCTCCATGATGAAATTTGAAGTGGGGTTTGTGAGCAAATGGCTAAGAATTCTTGAGTTTTTTGGTGCAAAAAGGGGATTTTGTTGCAGCACAGGGACAGGGCCCGTGGGCAGAAAGAGGTACACCGGCAAGTGTGAGGGGGGCTGATCATTTATTTTAGATTTGTTGAGGGAGTGGGGGGTAGAGATAAAGTAAGTTTCTAAGGAATTCGAAAGCAAGGCTTTCAGGATCTTAGCCTGCTGCTGTCAAGATAAGGTTACCTCTAGTTTTTAACAAAACGTAAACGTTAAGGCGCTAAGGCAGTCATGAGTTTCTTGAGGAAGGTCACACTCTTGGTGCTTCAGGTGTCTGTCCGTGGGCTGCGAGCTGTAGGGAAATTTAATTTCAACATTTTTCTTGCCTTTGTTTCCCCCATCGGTCCAGATTGAAATGTACCGTTACTAGCAACCTAAGTATCTTATGCCACAACCCCATCAATAACCAGCACCATGCCCCAAGAGATAATCACTGTTTTGACTTCTCTCACAATCGCTAAATTGTCTGTTCTTGAGCTTCATGTAAATGGAATCACACAGTGTTTTTGTTTTGTTTGCTCATTTATTTTTTTTCTTAACTCCACATATAAGGGAAGTCAGATGACAGTTGTCTTTCTCTGTCTGACTTATTTCACTTAGCATAATACCCTCTAGGCTCATCCGTGTTGGTGCAAACGGAACATTTTTATTCTTTTTTATGGCTTAGTAATATTCCAGTGCAGGGTATAATATATAATATACATAATATATATGTGTTAAATCTTTATCCGTGATGCCATATGGCATTGGCTTTCTATGTCTGGCTTCCTTCAGTTATAATGGTCTCCAGATTCGTCCGTGTTGTATTTGCAGTTTTTCGAGTTCTCTTGTAATTGACTTCTGGTTTCATACCATTGTGGTTAGAAAAGATGCTTGATATGATTTTACTCTTAAATGTATTGAGGCTCGTTTTGTGGCCTAGCATGTGATCTGTCCTGAAGAACGTTCCATGTGCACTTGAGAAGAATGTATCCCACTGCTTTTGAATGGAATGTTCTCTATATATCTATTTGTTTGGTCTAATGTATAATTTAAGGTCTATGTTTCCCCATTAATTTTCTGTCTGCTTGATCTATCCATTGATATAAATGGGGTTTTAAAGTCCCCTACCATTTTTGTATCACTGTCAATTTCTCCCCTTATGTCTGTTAGTATCGGCTTTGTGTATTTAAGTCCTTCCACATTGGGTGTATAAATATTTTAAAATATCATAACTTGTTAGTGGATTGACCCCTCTATCATCATGTATAGTGTCCATCATTGTCTTTTGTTGTCTTTGTTTTAAAGCCTATTTTGTCTGATCTCTGTATAGGTACCCCTAATTTACTTTGGGTTCTATTTGCATGAAACCTCTTTTTCCATCCCTTCACTTCCAGTCTCTGTGGGTCCCTAACATCTGAAGTGAGTCTCTTACAGGCAGCATATAGATGAGTCTTGTGTTTTCTGGGTTTTTTTAATCAATTCATCTGCTGTCTCTGTCTTTTGATTGGAGAACTGTATCCATTGATATTTCAAGCAATTATCGATAGGTATGTACTCATTGTAATTCTTTTCTGGCTGTTTACGTAGTTCCTCTCTGCCCCTTTCTCCTTCTCTTGCTCTCTTTTCTTGTGGTTTGATGACTTTCTATAGTGTTATGCTGAGATTCCTTCTCATTTTCTTTTGTGTATCCACTGTGGGTTTTTGCTTTGTGGTTACCATAAGGCTCATACATAACCGTCTAGGTGTTGAACAATCTATTTTGGTTGGTAGCAGGTTAAGTACGAATGCATCTCAGAACTCTACATTTTTACTCTGTCCACGTGTTTTGTTTTGAGAGTCACATTTTACATCTTTATGTGTATTCCTTAACTAATTACTGTAGCTACAGTTATTGTTATTACTTTTGCCTTTTAAACTATTTGCTAGCTTTACAAGTCATTAATTCACTGCCCTTAACTGTGTATTTACCTTTTTTTCGGAGAGA